CATTCGCTCTTTCTGTGATTAGATGTTCCCCATCAGTACCATCATTTTGATATCATTTAAGTTGTGGCCCCTGCAGTCTTTTACAAAAAATACAGAGAATTGTAAACAGCAAAACAAAAAGCTTAAAAGACTCAGACTTAAAGTGTTACTGAACCCGTATCATAAAATCAGTCTGTATATATAGTAAAGTATGCTTGTTATACTCAGTGATGAACCTAAGGGGTTAACCCTCCACATTGTGTAAAAAGGCTGTTTGATCCTGTGTTCTTTGATCCTCCCCTTCTTCTATTGTCCCCAATTAATCTGCTGATAGTACAGAGCCCTTAGCAGCACTCTGCACATGCTCAGTTTAGTGTGAGCCCCTATGAAGAGAGTTTTTTTTTTCTTTTGGAAGGTGCATGTGATCAGCACAGGGCCAATCAACACTATCAAGACAGAGGGTCAGGGGTTATGCAGCCTCAAAGGGTAGTCAAAGCAGAATGAACACTCCTTCTACAAGCTTTAACCATTGCTCAGTCAGACTCTGATAGAAGTCACAAAACTGCTATATACTGCTGATGAGAAAAGGTATTTAGCAGTTTATATTTACTAAAATAATATAATTTCCATGTTGTGTGTACTGTGGGAGACCAGATATAGTGAATGCAGGGTCCTGGGTTTAGTAACACTTTAAAGCCAGATGACTCAACCTAGACACAAAAACAGCTATACTTTCAAAAAGCCTCTCATGCTGTCCGGGAAAACCCATAGACAAAATCATGCTATGCAAGACTGGGTGATCTGGGGGCAGCTTTAGAAAACTGCAGCTTAAAGAATACTTCCATGGCAAGACAGACCACAACATAACTAAAGAAAAAACAAAGAACAACAATTTTACAAACATTTCCACATGGAGTGAACCCTACTGTGTACAAATATATTGACTGCTTCAGACAAAGGATCACAGACAAAATTTTCCAGAAATAAAGGATAAGCACAGAACTTGCACAGGAACAAACAGCCAGCAGTTCCATGAAAGGGAACAAGGAGATTTTCATAAAGCTGACAAAGGGGGTGCCATAGTCATAATGAACACCAGCGCTTACATAAAGGAAGCACACAGTCAACTAACAAATACTAAATTGCAAGAAGACATTACATATTCATATAAGAAAAAACTCACAAACCAAAAGTGGATTGTTTTCACATACTTCCCAGAATACACAAAGAGGGGAACCCAAGCAGACTCAAAATCTCAGCTAATGGAACACTCACTGAAAATATCTCAGGCTAGGTGGAAAATATCTTAAAATGTCTGGCTTGTAAAACACCAAGCAACATTCAAGACACAATAGATCTCCTAAACAAACTAGCTACCATTGGCCCTGCACCTGAAAGAACAATCTAAGCTACATTTCCCATGAAGACGGTATTGCAGCCTGCCTGAAAAATCTTCAGAAATTGGACCAACCTGTTGTGCTAGTTTCCTAGCTTACACATACTTTTCTTTTGAACAAGATATCTACTTTGCAGCAGATGGGAGTACCAATGGGATTATAGTTTGCTTCCCTAATATGCACATCCTTATCCACATGCCCTATAAAATCCATGGCCTATAAAACCCATGGCAAGTGAGGAGGATCTTTCTCAATTTCACAGCAGCTTCAACAACTTGACACAATAAAACTTAAAGCAGAAGTATAAAAAAGGCTATTTTGGCTCCACTTTTCCTGTAGGCCACAGGTTTGCAGTTCATTCTGCACTCCTGTGACCCGTTTTCAGTCGACTGCAGGCCAAAGTCCACTGTGGGCTGACATCACTCAGCGAGTTCAGGCTCTGAAAAGATCCTGACCATATGGTCAGCACAGTGGCTAAATGGTTAGCACTTCCGCCTGGCAGTTGAGGGTCATTGGTTCAAATCCCAGCCACAGCACCTTGTGCCTGGAGTTTGCATGTTCTCCCTGTGCCTGTGTGGGTTTCCTCTAGGTACTCCAGTTTCCTCCCACACTCCAAAGACAAGCTGGTAGGTGAATTGGATCCTGTCTAAATTGTCCCTAGTATGTGTATGTATGAATGTAAGCTAGGGACCTTAGATTGTATGCCCCTTGAGGGTTAGGGACTGATGTAAATGTACAATATATATGTGAAGCACTGTGTAAATTGACAGCGCTATATAAGTACCTGAAATAAATAAATAAATATGGTCCACTTCTGTAGCAGCCCACTTCTGCAACAGAAGCCACAGCACAAATGATCAAAAAACTAAAGTATCGATGGGGAATGTCAATGGTCTAAATAGGGACAAAAAAATTTTATGTACTATGATTTTAATCAACCTTCTGAATTCTGACAATTTCCTCAACCCTCAAGACCAAAAGGATGGACAGTTTAAAAGGACTCAAAGAGGTGACACATTTGAGGTGGCATTAGTTGTATTTCAATGATTCTATGGCCATCTAAAAAAGCCTATAATTTAAGAAAACAATTTGCCATATCTGTGAGTCAATTAGCCACAGTAAGACAAAACTTGTCAGCACTGGAAGTGTCCCCAGAGTCAGAATTTGGCCAAGATTTGTATACAGTGCTGTTTTATCTCCTGCTTATGTGAGTGAAATTTTAGTTTTTTAATAAAATGAATAAAAGTTAATAAAACTCCTGGCAGAGGAAGAGAAGAATGCTCCTTGAAATGCGTCAGCCATCTGGAGAGTTCTCTAGTGATTAGGAGCTAATCTGGTGATTTGGTAGCTTTGGACTTTGATATGCTTTTGTTACCACAGTTGTTTGTGAGTATACAATAAATAATGAATAACCCAGCGCAAACATAGACCTCTACACACCATCAATACATAAAGTGCATCATAATAATAAAAAATATATAAAATGAATAATTAATATTAATAAAAATCAATACAAATTAATAATAAAAGTCCACAGAAAACACCAAAAAGATTTTTTTTGTCCGTGAAATATATTTCACGGACAAAAAAAAAAAATATTTTTGGTGTTTTCTGTGGACTTTTATTATTAATTTTTATTGATTTTTATTAATATTAATTATTAATTTTATATATTTTTTTATTATTATGATGCACTTTATGTATTGATGGTGTGTAGAGGTCTATGTTTGCGCTGGTTTATTCATTATTTATTGTGGTTTGTGTTTTTTGCACAGTGCACAGCAGCAGTATAGAACCTGTGGGAATCTGTTGGCGCAGGAATAATAGTTTATATAAATTGTTTGTGAGTATACATCTACTGTAGATCTAATAAAGGTATTATCCCAGGTAATGCACTAGGCTGGTGTGCCCCCTTTTTCCTTGTTTTTATAGTGACTTTCTCTGGGTTTCTCCTCGACCCTTAAGAGGGCAGCAAGGCCTAGGCTAACACTGGATGCGTCAAGGACCTGACATGCCACTCTTGAGAGCAGGGGACTTTTGCTTTTGTCTTTCCATTGTACCTTGGGTGGGTAGAACATGCAGGGAGGGGAGTGTGGAGTGTATGGTAATTAGTATGTATAGGGAGAAAAGTGTATGGCGGTGGGTAGTATGTGAAGGGTGAGGGTTACGGAGTGTATGGCGGTGGGTAGTATGTGCAGGGAGAGGGGGACTGAGTGTATGACGGTGGGTAGTATGTGCAGGGAGAGGGGGACTGAGTGTATGGCGGTGGGTAGTATGTGCAGGGAGAGGGGTACATAGTGTATGGTGGTGAGAAGTATGTGAAGGGAGAGGGGTATGGAATGTATAGTGGTGGGTAGTATGTGAAGGGAGAGAGTTACGGAGTGTATGGTGGTGGGTAGTGTGCAAAAGGAGAAGGGTACGGAGTGTGGTGGGTAGTATGTGCAGGGAGAGGGGTATGGAGTGTATGACGGTGGGTAGTATGTGAAGGAAGAGGGGTACGGAGTGTGTGGCAGTGGGTAGTATGTGCAGGGAGAGGGTTACGGAGTGTATGGTGGTGGGTAGCATGTGCAGGGAGAGGGGGACAGAGTGTATGGCGATGGGTAGTATGTGCAGGGAGAGGGGGACTGAGTGTATGGCAGTGGGTAGTATGCAAAGAGAGAGGGGTACGGAGTGTGTGGCGGTGGGTAGTATTTGCAGCTAAAGGGGTATGGAGTGTGTGGCGGAGGGTAGTATGTGCAGGGAGAGGGGTACAGAGTGTATGGCGGTGGGTAGTATGTGCAGGGAAAGGGGTATGGAGTGTATGACGGTGGGGAGTATGTGCAGGGAAAGGGGTACAAAGTGTAGTGGGTAGTATGTGCAGAGAGAGGGGTATGGAGTGTATGGCAGTGGGTAGTATGTGCAACTAGAACACCCCCCTGCACTTAGAACATCTCCCCCCCCTCCACAGCTCTTCCTGCTCAGCTAATCTGCTCCTCTCACTCCTTTGCACATAGAATCCCCCCCCTCCCCCATCTACTCCACTCACCCCTCTGCAGCCAAAAGCCTCCTTCCTTCTTGTCCTTAGAATCACCTTCATTACTGGACATTCCAAAGCCACTCCCAGGGTCCTGCATCTCCTGCATATAGAAGCCGACAAGGGTTTACTTGCAGCTGGCAGTGCACACAGATGTCAGCTGAGAGAGATCGGTGCAGGCACTGCAGACGGAGGGGGGCAATTACAGAACGATACCCTGTGTCTTGTCTTTCCCTGTAGCAGCTGAAAGCCAGTTTCTCTCCCCCCTGCCGGCTTTTAGCTGCTGCAGGGAGAGACACAGGAGGACCATTGGTACCCCCCCTATCGGCCGTGCCGGGTAGTTTCAGTGCACCCATGTATGATACTCCACTGCTGGTAGTTATGCAGTCTGCCTGCAATATCTGTAAAAACTGGACCAGCCTGCTGAACCCATTCCCCAGCTTACACAAGTTATCCTAACTCACAACTTTTTTTTTTTGGCTAAGATCCCTACTTGCAGTAGATGAAAGTAGCAATGGGATCATGGTTTGTCCCCTACTATGTAAACCTGACTATAACTATAGGGGTTGATTTACTAAAACTGGAGAGTGCAAAATCTGTTGCAACTGTGCATAGAAACCAATCAGCTTCCAGGTTTGTTTTGTCAACACTTAATTGAACAAGCTGAAGTTGGAAGCTGATTGGCTATGATGTAGAGCTGCATGAAATTTTGCACTTTCAAAAAATAGAATAAAAGGAACACCTACCAATGGAGACATTTGTTTCTTTGACAATTGTCTAAGAGGAGATTTCTCTTGCTGTGTCTATAACAGTGGTCTCCAAACTGGGCCCGGGGGCCAGATGCGGCCCTTTGCTTGCCTTTATCGGGCCCTTGGGGCACTATTTATTCCACTGACACCAACAAATTCCTCCCAGTAATACCAATGATGGGGCACAATTCCAACCAATGACACCAACGATGGGGCACAGTTCATCCCAATGACACCAAGAATGGAGCCCAATGGCACCAATGATGGGGCACAATTTCTCCCAATGACACCATCGATGGGGCACAATTCCTTGTACTAGCACCAAAGATTGGCAATCTTTATTCCCACTGATACCAGGACACATTTCGGTCCGGCCCCCTTAAAGTCTGAAGCATAGTAAACTGGCCCTTTGCTTAGAAAGTTTGGCGACCCATGGTCTATAACATAGGAAATATACTGTAGATAATTCTCCCCAAAAGGGTACAGATGAAAGAAGAAAAAACCTGACAGGAGTTTTAACTATTCCACAATCTATTCAAAACTAGAAGTATTTTGTTTATACTTTTTTTACTTTGTAGGTGTTCCTTGTCAGAATTTGAATTCTGAGTAATGTGTTTTTAGCATTTTCAGGTCACAGTTTGTTAGTTTAAAACTGAACTGTAGGTGAATATAAAAGACACAAATTATTGCAGTTCAGTAATCATTGGTACACCATTGAATATATTTTTTTAACTACAAGAAGCTTAAGTACCTAAATATTAGCCCCTTGCAATAACAGAGCTGGAGTGTAAGAGCAAGGAGCCAGCTGGATCATGTATTTACAATAAGCATGCTGATAAGAGGAGAAATCAGAGTGATAAAGACATCAGCTCATCACTGTGCTGTTTCTCCTTACTTTGCCCAGTCAAAGGACGACCTGGGCTCAGAGAAAGTGAACTAAATGATGCTGGCCATCTGACGGAGGACATGTCGGTGCATAAAAAAGTTTTGCGTGGGAAATTGCTGAATATTGCAGCAAAAGCTGTTCTTTTTATTTTATCTTTTAATATGCTATTCATTTGTATCTAGGTTTTTTTGGCCGGAGTTCTGCCGGAGGATGTTAAAATATCGAAAACACTAGCCAAGTCATTCAATAAAAATAGGACAAGTCAATAGCTTCAATTACTTAATGAAACAAAACACAGCACTAGACATCTCATCTCTGTTAATTTTTGTACAGCAGTTTGCACCATGCCTTGTATATCCTTCTCTTCAATTATTTTTTTTTTATTATTGAACTTTAGTACAAAGTGTATTATGAAAAATGTTAAAATTAGCTTTGTAGTTACAATCAAAGTTATTTATACTCACACATACATATTCATGTGCTGTCTTACACCCTAAAATTATTCAGAGTAACTATGAATGTTGTTTCGCTTTATGCACAGATTCAAATGTGCATTCAGCACTCCTAATTATCTTGCTTAAAAAGATGATTTCTTTTGTAATTGTACTTTGCATTATAAAGTAACAATTTACGATGCCTGTGTTTTGGTCAGACAAATGAACTATTGGGATGCAGAATAAAAGTATGTAAATACGTGGCTGGACATATTTTGACGGAGTAAGTAAGTTTGTAAATGTAAACTTGACAATAAAATATATGTAAACCCTCACCTTGTAAAACAACCCATACAATGTAAAACATAAATGAAAGGCAAAACATTTGTGCATACATATAAAAAGAAACATCATAAATTCCTTTTTTCCTTTTTGAAAAGTGATCACAAAAAAAACTCCCTGTTCTCATCTGGGGGAGGAAAAACAGCAGTACCCTGATCTTCCAGGTGGTGGTGGTGGTGGGGGGGGGGGGGGGCTGTCAGCACAAGTGTGATTATTTGAGGAAAGCAGGCTGAGTTCTTAGCACAACCAGAACACTGACCATGTTGTGCTCTTATGCCTAGTGTGGTCAGTTTTTCATAGGAAAGCAAGACAACTGTCAGGAACACCAGGGATTTCACACAAAGGAAGCAACACAAAGAGAACAGGATACTTTTTCATACAAGTACATGAATCAGCAGGCATATCAGGAATATGAAATGTTGGGTTTACATATTCTTTAAAATCAGAAAGATAACACTACTTTTTGAATATTTAAAGTGTTACTAAACTCACAACAGTATAATCAGTCTGTATATGCAGTAATGCACTGTGGAACCTAAGAAGGTAACCTCCCTGGCAGTATTCCCGAGTGTAGCTCGGGGTAAAGTTTCAGTACCACAAGCTACACTCGGGCTTACTATGCGGCGCTGCTCCGGGATCCCTCGATCACTTACCGTGTCCTGCGCTCCCGCGATGTCCCTCCTGCAGTGTCCCCGGCAATGTCCTCTGGCGGATGCCGGCATCTGTTTTCTGGGTTCTGTCCCCTGCGAGCGTCGGGACATATGGGGGCGGAACGGCGGGAAATTTGAATATGACAAAAAGTGACATTAACTAAAATAACATTATATATAGTATTATTATATATTATTGAATTAAATTTATTATTATTATTATATTATTATTTTTATGAATATTTATTAAATTATAATTTATTTTTTCGTGTTTCAACTTTTAACATACCCGGGATGTTTACTAGACTCTTTTCGGACAGATTTCAGTGAGTTATTCCTAAAAATTACAGGCCTACAATAAAAAAAAATACATATTTCCATGCAAAAAAATGTACCGTTTGAGCACAGAAATATGGACATAATCAGATCGCTAGGGAGGTTAATCCTCTGCATTGTGTAAAAAAGTTGTTTGATCCTTTCTTCTCTGCCCCTCCTCTTGTTCAAATGTCAACATTTTATCTCCTGATAAGACAGACTGAACCATAGGCATTTGCACATGCATAGTTTGGTGTGTATTGCTTGAGAGGTTTTTTTTTTCTTGGTAGATTGCATGTGATCAGCACAGGGCCAATCAGCGCTGTCCAGACAGAGGTCAGGGGTTTTGCATCCTCCTAGAGCAGAAAGAAAACTCCTCTACAAGGTTTAGCTAGTGCTCTGCTGAAGTCACAAGACTGCTCTAACTGCTGATGAGAAAAGGTATTTAGCAGTTTATATTTACTAAAATAATTGAATCTCCATGTTCTGTGTACTGTCGGAGACCAGATATAATGCAGGGTCCTGGGTTTAGTACCACTTTAACAATGATGCTTAAATCAGCCATTACATGGAAATTCAATGTCCATTATTACTACTTATTTATTACTCGTAACATTACTAAACCTTGTGAGAAAGCTAGGTACTCAAAATATCATGACAACACACTCCAGTACAAAAGTGCATTCTTGTGGAATTTTGTTAAGGCTAACCCCCAGGAGGCAGCAGTGAGGTATAGTGACATCACCGGTGTCTCTGGTAAGTGCTGGAAGCTGGAGTTTAAATTTCTTTGTCTTTCTTTTATCTCCAAAAAAACTTTTTTTTCTATTAGTGATTATTTTATATTTTTTATTGGGGTTGGGGCTCTCATATAAATGGAACTTACACTAGAATGCAAGATCAGCTTAAAATAACAACCATGTACTGTACAATGTCTTGAAAACTATACAAACCAATCTGATTTCAACTTTTGTCAGTTTAAAGCAATCAGCACCATAAGAGACGAGTAATTATTACATCTCATTCACTTTGCACATTTTTTTGTATAAGCCTGCTGATCTCATATTACCTAGAAGTATATCAGATTAGCACAAGTGTGAGCTTCCCTGCACCATTGCTTACTGAGGGGTTAAATAAGGAATATTATTATTATAGCCGCCATGCTGTTTAAGACTCTGCGCTCGCCCCTGTGGTGGGCACCTAGTGCAACCCTGACTTTTGGAGCCTCAGTCTGAGTGCATCGAGTGCCTCTGTCAATAAACATTATGGGGTTGATTCACTAAGTCCTCATGCACACTGGATGTTTTTACAGCGGCTGTTTTTGGCTTTTGACATTTTTTTCTACAGCTAGCAAACCCCCCAACATGTTATCCTATGTGTCCATGTACACATAGATTGTAATCAATGTTTTTTGGCTGGGACGTTTTTTTGGCTGGAAAAAAAAAAAACCCAGGACTAGTGTGTTTCTAGTGGAGTTTTTTAGCTGTAAAAACGCTCTAATGCTGAAAAACGTGGTAAAACGCTGTAAACCGGCATTTTGGGACTTTTTTTTTACCCCCCTAAATTTTTTGGGGGGTAAAAAAAACACTAAAAAACGCAAACATGGCAAAAAAACCACTAATCGCGGCAAAACGCTGCTAAACGCTAATGCAAAATTGCTAAAAAAAAGCTGAAAAACTCACGTTTTTTAACGTGACCTTACACAGCTAACGTTACCAGCGTTATCAAAACTTCCGTGTGCATGAGGGCTAAAACTGGAGCATGCAAAATCTGGCACAGCTCTGCATGGTAGCAAATCAGCTTCTAACTTCAGCTTGTTCAATTAAGATTTGACAATAAAACCTGGAAGCTGATTGGTTTCTGTGCAGAGCTGCACCAGATTTTGAGCTCTCTAATTTTAATAAATAAACCCCTTGATGTTGATATGAATTTGCAGATATACTTATTATGTATACTTATTGTTTTTTTTTTTTTTGCAGATCGATGTAGATTGCACATTTTCCTATAAAACCTCCTAAGTAAGCAAGTTAGCACCCCGTGAAACATGCACAATCAGAGGGAAGCAGCAACCCAGCAAAATTATTATTAAATTACTATAATACATTTTATATGAGAGATGGAAGATTCACTAATGTTTTTAAAAAGTATTGTTTAATACTGTATGTATTGTGTTTTCACACTTCTTAAATATGTTATTTAATAAACTGTCTACTTTTTAATTATTGCTGTGTGACAGGGGCGGACTGACAACTCATGGGGCCCCCGGGCAATAGGGGATCATGGGGCCCCTGTGTCCTTGCCCAAACTCAAAAAAGCCTATGAAAAAAGGTACCAGGGGCATCTCATGGGGCTCCCTACTGACCCCGGGCCCTCGGGCAGTGCCCGAGTTTCCAAATGGTCAGTCCCACCCTGCTGTGTGATCCTTGGGCGCTCTAAAGTCCACCTTAAAATAATAATGTCCAATTTTGGCTCTACAAGACCCTGGCTACTGTAAATATTACCATTACATCCCACTTACTAGAATATTAATTATTAAGCTAGTTTATAAACCCTTTGAAAATAAAGTAAATATAGTGAAAAGTAGCGTAATGCTTTAGTGTAGGCATTTTGTTTTCCTTGTCCTACACACAAAATGTACATTTTCCCTTAAAGCTGTCCAAATTCTTATTTGATGACTTATTATTAAACTTGATGAAGCCCAGACCAAATCAATTGCCTGTGCATAAGCACGGTAATAGAAAAAACAAATTACTATTATTATCTGAGCAGTTATGGATTATATTCTGCATCAATGAGCGCAAAATACATTATTTCCCATAGACATATTAACTTTAAAATTGATATATAAGGACTCACATTTTAATATGAAACCCCTCTTTTTTCAGCATTATTGCTTATTTAATCTTTACCTATTGCATGATCTATTGCATGCATTATACTGATTACTAATACCTACATTGTCCACAGTGAGTCACTGTAAAAAGTCACAGGTCTAGAGTGGGGTTAAAATTCTCCATAACAGTCTAAACATTATTATTTCACAATAGTTGTGTTCATATGTAAATTGCAAAGGTGGTAAGTGAACCCAGCACTTGCAATTCTGTCTCAATCTCCTGCTTTCTTGTTTCAAACAAATGACTCATTTCAAATGAGAGAAAATATGGGTAATACAGTATACTCAGGAATGAACAGAGTGCATTAGGAGAAAGGGAAGCACTAGGCAAAACAAGCAGTGGTAACCAAGGGCAAAGACAAAAAATTGCAAGGAAAACACTAGACACCTATTATTATACAAGAGGAAATAAACAAGATGCAGGGCAACATTCCCACGAGAAAAGCAGCATATTAAAAAGTGTTGCAATGCATTAAATAGCACTAACAGGTCCAGATACGGACCAAGACATGAGATAAGGCATAGATGGGGGTCCATGAAGACTGGAACACAAGGGACAAGAAATGTGTTTAACAAGATGTTAGCTGGATCAAAGTCAAAGATCAACTTTGACATACACAAGAGAAGTGCTCCAGCAGCCAGCAACAATTTGTGTAGACTTATACCAAAGTGACTAAGCAGTCATTCACGGGCAAAGCATAAAAATGTTCCCATTGCAAGAATAAGTGTTTGTGCCCAAAACTTCTGTTAAAAAGGTAGTAAACTGAAAAAAAAATGAGGTCTCTGTGTGATAATGTCATAATGTACTAGTATACATTGCATACTAGCACAATATAACAGACTTAACTTAAAACAAAGTCCTTCAGCAGCACGCTGTCACCACTGCTGGGGCTTCCATCTTCATTTGGTCTTCCTTCTGGGTTTGTAAGCACTGGCCACTTGAATGGCCAAGCGGCGAGGACGTCACTCCCACACAGGCATTTGGGAGTCATGGCCACGACACAGAGCCCTGAATGAACGCAGTGGGGTTTATTTACTAAAGGTGGTTCACTCAGAATCTGGTGCAGCTGTGCATGGGAGCCAATCATCTTCCAACTTCAGCTTATTCAATGAAGCTTTAGCAATGAAACCTAGAACCTGATTAGTTCCTATGCAGAAGTGCACAAGATTCTGAGTGAACCAGTTTTAGTAAATAAACCCCAACATGTCTAACCCAAATTTCAACATTTAACTAGTTGGTTGTCAACTCGCCTAAATAACCAGTGTAGCCGTTATAGGTCTCTGCATACCCCTGGTCTCTCTGACTAGTGGGATCTCTTGTTTGTTTTATGTGGTTTGTTTGACCATAAGGGCTACACCAGTTAATTAGAGCATGTTCTATTTATTGGTCTCTGCATACACCTGACTGCTCTAACTGGTGAGGCTTCTTTTTTGTTATATGTGTTTTGCTTGTCCATAAGGGCTACACTGGTGAATAGGGAAGGTCTTATTTATTGGTCTCTGCATGCCCCTGGCTGCTCTGACTTGTGGGCCTTCTTTTTTGTTGTATTTGGTTTACTTGACCATAAGGGCTACACTTGTTAATAGGGTAGGTCTTATTTATTGGTCTCTGCATGCCCCTGGCTGCTCTGACTTGTGGGCCTTCTTTTTTGTTGTATTTGGTTTACTTGACCATAAGGGCTACACTGGTTAATAGGGTAGGTCTTATTTATTGGTCTCTGCATGCCCCTGGCTGCTCTGACTTGTGGGCCTTCTTTTGTGTTGTATTTGGTTTACTTGACCATAGGGGCTACTCTGGTTATATAGGGTAGGTCTTATTTATTGGTCCGTGCATACCCCTGGCTCCTCTGACTGGTGGGGCTTCTTTTTTGTTATATGTGGTTTACTTGACCATAACGGCTACACCCGTTAAATAGCTAATTTGGTTGTACGCAAGCTTCATAGGCCCTATTTATTGGTCTCTTC